TATAGCAATCATTTCCTCAACTTGATATAGGAACTTGAAATGGCTGTTTTATTTTTAGAAAACACACCAACATTTCTTTGGCAAGAAGAGAGATGACCACATCTGGTAACAGAAAGGTGTGATATTTTGTATTTGAGGTTCATTGTGTTGACTTGGAGCTATTATTGCTTCCTTACAGGGAAGATGAAAAGAAGAACTTTGAAGTAATGTGTTAACAGCTCTAACATTTCTCCACAACATATTGCTTACCCCCCCCTTTTTTTTTTTAGTAACAAGGGAACAACAGCTACATTTTAGTGCTTTAAAGAGAATGTTGGAAGAATTGTACTTTTTGCATAGGCTGGTATACTATAGGAGCACACTGCTTACATATAGGAGAGGGTTCTGTTTTACACAGGGAGCAAGTAGTAGTAGCAATGGGAGAGGGAGTATCCTAAATTGAAATCCAGAAATGCCTGGTTTTTGGAGGATGAGTGGTTTGAACAATTGCCTATGTTATGGGACAGATGGTTTTCTATGCCATCCTTCCCATGCTGGTTTAGTTCTGTGGGACCCCTTTCCTGAAGCTGGACATTTGAGGAATAGATAGTTTAGAACCAGCTTCTTCCTCCTGCCATGGCCTGCTTTTTCTTTTTCTTCACAGCTATTGCCATTGGGGGCTTTTCCTTCTTACCTTCATTGTCATGTTCCACTGAATTGTCAGCATAACTATACCAACAGAGCCAATATGATCTGTCAGAAGCAAGTCATTTTATCGTTGTTAAGTTATTCTTTGGGCTAAAAAAGAGCATTGACAGTAGTGTGATAATAATATGTCGTGATACTTTTTATTTGTGAGTAATGAATACTGTGTTGTAAAATTAGATGTGAGAAAATGAGTAATGCATTACTTTTTCTGTAACTTTTCCATACCCTGATTTAAAATAAATGAATAAATCACTGCTTTATCACCCTGAAAGAAACAAATGAAATGTATTCAACAGACCAGAGACACAGTTGTGAAGCAGTTGTTGCTGTTTTGCTTTTCTTTTCTTTTCATTTTAACTAAAGAAGAACAAAGACAGAGAATGATCTGGGAAGATAGCACCATCAGCTCTAGGATTTTTGATAAGGGATCTCTACTGGCTGCCTTAGCTTGGATGAGGTTGAGTTTGCAAAGTGAGAATTTTCTCAGAGTGCCTTTGGCCAGCTTGGGTGCTTTCTGTATAAAGTCAAAATGTCTGTGGAGTTGAGATACTGGGTTTTTGGCAGACTTGTAGCCTTGTGGAGTTCCTGACCTTGTCATCCATCTGTAACTGTCTTTGATGTTCAGATGTCTGACTTTGGGTTAATATGAATCTCGTAGGGAATTGAAAGACTTTTCATTTGAGTTTTGGTGCATATCCCATTTACATTTCTGCGCAGTCACTGGTTTGAGATATTTGTTGAGATTCTGCCTCATCAGCATAGCTGCAAGAATGGAATATTAGTTATGGCTGACAATGCTATTCCCCCCCCCCAAAAAAAACCAAACAAAAATAAAAACAAACCTACCTTGGCAGCATGACTGAAGTGCTTCTGAGGCTCTGAAGATTGGGGCACTGGGGAATGTGGTTTGTTGCATTATTCCAGCTGTGTGGTGTTTTAAGAACAGGCAGCTGGAGGCAACTGCTTGTCTCAGTGTGACCTGTGACTGGGAGATCATTGCAGGTGTCATTTCCCATTGCTTTGATCTGCCGAACAGGCTGCAAAGGTAGATTTTGGGGATCATATTCAGTCATTCAAGAGTCATGACTACAAATGTGAATTCCCAGCAGTTACAAGATCCAAAGTCTGGCCTACAATCTAGCAACTGCCGAACAGGATGTCAGTCGATTTTTTTTCTTTTGCCATAGACATTTGTACATGTTCTCTGTATGCATTTTCCATAATGTATACATTCATTTGTGTACTGTTCCTAATGGATGCATTTTTGCATGTATTTCCACCTCTGCCTAAAGTGTGTTTATGTGCATTTTCCATTGCACACAGTTACAGTCATTCACATTTTAAAAATGTACTTGATTTTGGGCATATTAATTTTTTTCTGAAACGCACTACTAGCCATGCAAATGTTCAGATTTGTCAGGCATGTTGCACTTGGTCTTTCAATTGGTCTGGGGAAAGGCAAAATGGAGAATTTCAGCAAGAACCTAGACTCCATCCAAATTCTCCATTCCAAGAGTCAGTCTTGCTTTATCTTATAACATGGGACTAGGCAAACCAGGTCTCTGTGGCATTTGCAGTTCTTGTCCATCCACATTGCAGAATTAAAGCAATTTGACCCCACTTTAACTGTCATGGCTTCATCTTGTAGAAACCTGGGGTTTGTGGTTTGGTGAGGTATTCAGCCTGGTATGTCAGTGAGTTTTGGTGCCTCACCAAACTACAGATCCCAGGATTCTGTAGAATAGAGACATAGGAGTTAAAGTGATGTCAAATTGCTTTAACTCTGCAGTGTGGATACTCCCCTCATCTCAAAAGCCCTCTTTTTGCTGTCTGTTCCTTTTAAACTTCTCTAGTATATTTTTTGGTCTGTGACTGAAATAAATATTACCACTGCTAAAGGCCATCTGTATGCACTTGGTTCTACCTTCTGGCAGACGTGATTGAATTCGCAAGGAAAGATAGGTGGGAGAGAAAGAGAAAAAGAGGCAGCCCAGCTTCAGTCCTTCTCTGCCTTGCTCAGGGGGGAAGCACACCAGGGCATCGGGGACACCCTGGGACGGAGCGCCGTGGGACCGCAGCCTCCGCACCGCGGTGCTTCGGCGGCGTCCCTGAAAGGAGCGCTAAATTGGCGCTCCTTTCAGAAGT